TAGACTCCTGTGATGACAGAAATACCTAGTTATATATCTCTTTTAAACAGTTTTCTCCCTCCTCTGCTTCAGTGCAGTATACATTATTGAAGCCCTCTTACTCAGTCTCTCCCCAACCCCAAGGACAGTCCCATTCTACAACAGTGGCATCATGTAATATTTGTAAGACCAGGATTTTAAATGAAATCTACAAATCTGAGTTTTGACTGGCCTGGCCCCTGGCTGTGTTTAAGATTTGGCCTCTATTTTTTTCTGTGCATATAAGGAATGAATCACAAATACTGAAGGGAGGACAAAGTAGTGTTTCCTAAACCCTAGGACTTAGGTTTTGCTATGGAATTTTTATTTGGTTTTGTGAGAGAGAAGGTCATTCAGCTGCACTTAATAATTATATTTCTCTATGGAAAGTTTCACTAGATAGACATTACTCAGGTACTCTTTGCTTTCAGCGAAGATCCATCTGACGTTGGGACTATTGTTTCTGGTGCCATGGGCCTCTTCTAATCCAGGCTTGTACGAATCCCAGAGCACTTGAATTTCGAAACTTATGCTTGGACCAGGAAGCATTCATCAAAGCAGAACAAAGAAACATTGCATGGTTCAAAATCAGAAAAGGAGTGTGTCAGGGATGTGTTCTGTCTCCATATCTTTTCAATCTATATGCAGAACAGATAACTACAGAAGCTGTACATTATAAGCCTAAATGACAACCAGTGTTACACAGATGACACAAACTTGCTTACACAGAACTGAGGAGTACCTGAAGCGTTTACTGCAAATGGTCAAGAAATAGAATCACAATATGGATTAAAGCTCATCATCAAGAAGATAAAGGTTCTCACATGGGAATAGTGGGCAGCACCATGGTAGATGGAGAAGAAATTGAGGTGGTTAACAATTTCAGTTTGCTCAAATCTACAATTAACACTCTAGGCACCAGCAGCCAAGAAACCAAAAGATTAATTGTTCCGGGGAAAGCTGCTGTAAGGAACTTCTTTAAAGTGTTAAAGAGCAACGATGTCAGTCTGGAGAGTAAGGTGTGCCTGATTCAGTCCCATGGTCTTTGCAATTACTTGCCATAAATCAGAGAGCTGGACAATGACTAGAGTTGGCCGAAGAATTTATGCCTTTGAGCTGTGGTGCTGGAAAAGAGTATTGAACATACCTTGGGCTGCCAAGAAAACTAACAGGTTTATCCTGGGGAGGGGAAACCAGGCTGCTTCTTGGAGGCAAGGATGTTGATGCTCCGTTTCACATACTTTGAGCATGTTGACAGGAAGAACCAGTCTCTGGAGAGGGACATCATGCTTGGAAGGTTGAAAGGACAGTACAGGAGAGGAAGACCCCAGATGAAATGAATTGACACAATAACTAGGGTAATGGGGGTAGGTTTGTCAGAGACAGAGAGACTGCCTTAGGAGAGGGCAAAGTTCACAGCTATTGTACATATGGTTGCTATGAGTCACAGGTAACTTGATGGTGCATAACAATATAGTAATAACAACATGGGAAGTTAATGATTGAATATTTTCTGGCTATTGGATAGTGAAAGATGAAGTTCATCTATAAGAAATTCTAAATCAACCATTTCAAAAATTTGTAACGTTAAGCTTCAAAGCGTACTTAGATTTCTGGTTCTGATTCCATTACTTGGAATTGGAACTCCAGCAATTTTCTTTTTTTTCCAGCAACTTTTCTATACAGCTTAACTTTTCTGCCCTTTGTTTGCTACTTCCATTTTCTGGGACCTTGGCAACTTAGACAAATGTTAGAGCACTTACACCATCGTGGAAATCTGCTCGCTTATTTCTGCCTTAAAAAGTAATCTTGAGGTTAGGCTGGTGCTTTGTACAACTTTCTATTCTGGTCAACTTTCACAAGGCCAAAAATACAGTATTTTAGTAATAATACAACTTATCAGTAATGATATTACCTGGATTCTACTTCTAGTATCTGTTTTGGATAAATTCATAAAGGGTCTTGGAAGTTTAAGAGAAACATGAAAAACAAAATTCAAAATTATGAAAAAAGAAAATCCAGGTTTCCTAGTCTGAGAGAGACTGCTGGAGCTCCCAGGACTATGTTCTTAGACATCTTTCATGCCTCTAACTGAACTCATGGTAAGGATTATCTTGCGTTCTCTACAATGTGAAGTTGAGTATGACTCATAGGGACCCAATGAGCAATAGATCTGAATCCTGTCTTATCCTGTGCTAACCTCAAAATCTCTGATACCCTCAAGGTCATTGCTGCAATCACTGTGTCAATCCCCTGTGTCAAATCCTCTCCTACATCGTCCCTGTACCTTTCCAAGAATGATATCCTTCTAAAAACAGTCTCTGTTTTTTTAAAAAAAATTTATTTTATTATTTTGTGTGTGTACCATCAAATAGGATCTGACTGGCACAGGAGGAGATTTCCCCTCCTTCTCCAGCAGAGCATCTGGTGGATTCAAACTGTGTACCTCTGGGATTGCAGTGAAGCTTCTTGCCACTAGGCCACCAGAGCTCCCTTGAAAAATAGTCTCTCTTTACAACATGACCAAAGTATGAGAGATGAAGCTTCACCATCCTTGCTTACAAGGAATACTCTGGCTCCAACATTTCCCTGTTAGTTCTTTTGGCAGTCCATAGGATATTCAGTATTCTTCTCCAACACCACTATTCAAAGGCATCCGTTTTTCTTCTATCAGTCTTATTGTCCAGATCTCAGATGCACAGCAAGTGATTCCCCATCATTCTCCCACAGAGCAGAGGGTGAATTTGGACTGAGACCTTTGGAATTGCAGTGCAGCTCTTTACCATTAGGCCATCTGGTTATTGAGTAGAATCAAATTAGAACCAGAACCGACCCATAGCTGACCCCCCAGTGGGTTTTCAGAGGTGGAAAATCGCAAGGAAGGAGACTGCCCATCCTTCTTCCTTGGAACAGCTGGTAGATTCAAACCGTAAATCTTCAGGTTTGCAGTGCAGTTTCTTACCACTAGACTACCAGAGCTCCCAATCGACGAGCTGCTCCATGGAAGAAAGATGTGCAATCTCTTCCAGGGTGCTTTAAAGAATTTGAAAACTCGCTGGAGGGTCAGCCATAGGACAACGCTGACTTGGCAGTACTCATCAACAACAACAACTGAAGCAATAACATGTGTGAAGAATACACTCCTTAGAATTATCAAACACACAAGTTCAAGGCAACATCTGCCCCAAAACGAAGCTTAGAAAGCAGGAATGATGCACCCAGCATGGAAATGGAAAGTTGTTCTTACGCACACAACTGTAGATAACACAGTAAGAAGGCTGCTTACTTTTAGCATAACCTCTCAAGATGTGAAGATACAGTGTCTATAGTTGAAAATAACATTTTGGATCTTTCTGTATCCTGCCTCTAGCTAAGATTAAAGACTGGTGCTTTTGATTTTAATAATCAAAAGGCAGAGTTGATAGGTTGAGAGCTCTCCATTCCTTAGAGTATAGGGATGAGAACGGCTTGTTTCTGAACTTTAAGGGGCGACAGGGAAGAGCTATAAGTAAACTGCCTCTGAAAACCTACTAGAGGACGAGCTATGAGTTGATTCCAGCTTAAAGGGATGTAACAAGTAAACTCAAGTCACAAAGTCCACAGGGAGCTGTGCTGCTAACCAAAGACCACAACTTCCTGGCAGTTTGAATCTACCAGCAGCTCCAAGGGAGGACGTTGGGCAGTCACAGCCCACGAGCTTGGAATTCTCTGAAACCCAGAGGAGGGTCAGTTATGAGTCAGTTCCAACTAGACAGCTGTGAG